AAAACAGTAAACACACATGCATTTATACTTGATTTATACACATTACTTTCAAACTACTTTACAGAAAATATCGGATTTTCTGGCGATTTACGAATAATGCAAAACTTTTCATTTAAACATGCTTATGAACTCATCAACATTATATATGTTGACGTTTTCAAAATAACTTGTATTCTCAGGGAATCGTTAAGCGGAAAGGTCGGCAAGAAATGTGGAATTTGTTATATTTTGTTATCATCATACATTAAATATTTTGGCATGTATTTTATGATACTATACTTGATGTAAACAATGTTGGTTGTAATTTGATATGTATAATGATGGTGTTGTCTTGCTTCTATTATATACATTGTGATGATATTACAAGATGAAGTCACGCGTAAGCCCCCGGACGTTTTCCGCCGTCTGGTTCGGGGGTGTGACACCCGCTCCCCCTCCAGGAGACTCTGGTTATAACTCTTACAGGACTTTAGGCGTACACTATTATGTATATATATATATATATATATATATATATATATATATATATATATAGGTACTGTGAAGACGCGTCTGACTAGAATACTAACAGGTGTTTGTGCAAAAATCGTGGTAATCCGTTATTTATTACATAAATAACAATGGTGTACTCGTTGTCTAGATAGTTCGTTTTCGTTTATAGAAAATATTCATTTTTAAATCAGACTTGTCAAAATGACCCAATATTCTTGATGTTGGCAAAATGGTCCTTCATTTTATAATTTATCAAATATGACTCATATTTGTCAAAAGGTGGCTCAAAACTATGTGAATTGTTGAAAGTGGTCCATTTCCTCCAAAATACTTGTTTAAGCAATTTTTGACGTAAATACTTACGATTTTTTTCATAAAAATTTGTAACTTATATTTTGTAACATATTAATTCTTGTTTCCTTACATAATTTGTGAAATATGATTCAAACTCTTGAGACTTGCTCAAGATTTCGAATTCTTGGAGTTTTCGTAACTTTAGCACATATAACTTAGCATACAAGCATAACAAGTAATTAAATCAAGGTTTAAACAAGGCTTTTGACTTGTATTCTCCCCCAAAATAATAAAAACTCGAAAAAGTAGGGGTATGATGCTCACATTGGTTTAGCTTCTTGGATGATTTGAAGAGGTGTTAAGGAGTTTCCAAGTTCTAACACTTGAAGGGTTTGATAACTCTTTGAACTTTAGAATATCCTAAGAATATGTACCCAAAATTTTCATGTGTAAATATAATGAAATTTACAGAATAATGTGGAGAATCACTAGTCAAGAAGATGAGATACTTACAAAAATTTTCTAGGAATTGCTTTGGAGGAATATGACTTGAAGCTTGAATAAGTTGAGAGGACACTTAGGAGTTCACAGATTGTGGATATGAGAAGTGGGATATGAGGAAGAGTAGTTAACGTTTTCTAATAGGGAGGATAAGGAGTGACTTGACACTTGCTTGGAGTACTGGTGGACAAGGCTTTGTTATCTATGGTTATTTTGTGTTTTACTGGGATTTGCATGGGAAATGGAGGATCACATCAAATCATAAAGTCAAACCCCCTTATCACTTTATGATTTAATATAATACTTTTATACATATTAATTATTATTTTATGAAAATATGTTTTAAATATTCAAATTTGGCATAAAATAAGGGTTTAAGGGGTCTAAGTTATGAAAAATACGAGTTTGGTGGGATTCCCAAAGTCAAATTACCTTAAAATGAAGAAAAGGTCCGAAATGGTCTAAAATCTGGAGCCAAAAAGTGAGTTCCGGAGTCACTTGGCGAGTTTCGAAGTTCATATCATGTTATGGAACGGGTTCAAGAGGTTCCAGAGTCAATTCACAAATTTCAGAGTCAAGCCCTTAGTCCGAAGTCGGCTCTTATCCGGAACCACTTCCTTCCGAGGCTGCAAGGGTTCCGAGGCTACAAGGCGTCCGGTCTGAAGTTGTGAAACCTTCCGGAGCGGGTTTGGTCCGAAGTATGGGAGGCATTCCGGAGCAAAACAGGAGGTTCCGAAATAGGACTATTCCGGAGCGAGATTGTCCGGGTGGGAGGGTCCGAAGCTTCCTAAGGGTTCCGAACTGGGCTTGCTCCTTCAAGTTTTCTCCTTTCGTTTTGAGCTGGTTTCGACTAAGAAAACTTCATAGGAAGATTTGAGAGATATTTGAGGTACATAAAGAGATTTAGGAGAGATTTGACATACATAGAGAGATTTGGGAGAGATTTGAGATACATAGGGAGATTTGGGAGAGATTTGAGATACATAGGGAGATTTAGGAGAGATTTGAGATACATAGAGAGATTTGGGAGAGATTGAGAGACATATATGCTTTGCATTATAACAATACACGGTTCATTAGGAGTCATAATGTAAACTTTAAATACGTTGATACAAGCCTTACAATACTTGATGTTTTACATGAGGGCAGAGTTTCCTAGCTAAAAATGCTAGTTGTGACACAAGGAGCACAATACCAAAACCTAGGTCCGTAAATTTATCCATTGCTCAAGAACTCATGTATGGATCAATGAGAGTGCCCAAGCTTTGATTTTTATGACTGAATAACCTCATAAACATCAGAAGGAGGCACTCACATGGTCTAGAGTAACCCATACTCATAAGAACTAAGATTATGGGACAAAAAGCATAAAAACCCATGAACTAATTAGATCTAACAAAAGGAACATCAAGATGCAAGCTTTATACCTCCTTAAGAATGTTGATGAAGTGCAAGGTCAGGATCTACAAAGCTTGAAGCTCACCAATGCTTCTTCAATGGACTCTTTTCTTCAAAAATGCACCCAAAAACACACTAAAAGCTCCAAGACTCACAAATGTTGGTTAGGGTTTCAAAGGAACGATATGAGGTGAAGGAGGCTGGTTATGGGAGGGATCCTATGAAGTTAGAGTCCTTAAATAAGGCTCAAAACCTTAGAACTGGGGTTTTTGTTAACCTTAGTTACGTCCTGCGTAGCTTGAGTTACGCCATACGTAGATCATTTAAAACACGTTCCTCCATCAGCCACTACGTCATGCGTAGCTGCCTTACGCCCTGCATAGGGCAAAACCCCTATCTTCCAACTTCAAACAAGCATAGCTTCTTCGTTTCAACTCCATTTTTGGCATTCTTTATATGCACGAAAAGGTATCAAAGAGCCCCACAATTCTATCTAGTTACTTTTGGTTTAACACATGTCGAACTAAAACCCTAATTCATGCAAGAATCTCGATATATAACTTTTCTCTTTCTATCCTTTTGTTCCAGCACACAAATCAAGGGCTTAGATCTCACAACCAACATTATCAACCTTCAATAAGGTCTAAACTTTACTTCCTCAAAGATTAAAGTCTTTACATGATCGAATTTCGGTCCACAACCCTGAATTAAGAAATGAACCGAAACAGGGTGTTACAAAAAAAATTAAAGGTAGTGAAAGGTGACCATTTCCTGCCTTTTGTTGAGTGAAAGGTAAGTGAGTGGAAAGCTGATGTGAAACTGAAAAATTAAGTGGTGAAAATGGGCATAATACTTTACCTTTGGAGACCACCACCTATGGCACCCTCTTTTCACACATTGGCACTAACTGAATCAACTTTAGAACTTATAGTTTTCTGAGTTTTTATATTATTCGATTTACAGGTGATGAAGATGGTTGGGGTTCTATGTTCTAACGACTTTTCAATTATCTTGAGGGTTTTCGTTAATTTTAATTTTTTCACGTTTCCGGAGATTGATAATCTAAGGCTGGAAATAGTGGTTGAATTTGAATTAGGGATGAATTTTGAGGTTAGAATTTGAACATGTAATTAATAGAGATCATGGTTGAGGTCTGTTATGATTCGAAGGCACGATTCTTTGATTTGTGATGCTTTCATCATTGTTTGTTGTTACCATTGTTTCATAACTCTCTCACCTCTCTTGTTGTTGCTTGTTGCTTGTTGATTTCTGGTTTGAATGAACGAATGCTCATTCCTACGTTAAATGGATTCCTGGGTTTGAGTTTTTCTAGATTTGAACATCGACGATGGTGATTTACTCCAACAAGAGGAGTTTTACGACGAGTGGGTGTCTGGTGGTGGTGGTGATGGAGTATACTGACAAGTTCGTGAGTTTGTCGGCGAATTCTTGAGTTTTTCAAGTTTTATGGCAAATCCTATGGTGGTTTTGATGCCTGCCAAGAAATAAATAGAAAAATAAGGGGTGATGGGGTAAGGGGTGTAAGGGAGGGTGGGCTACAATTGTGCAATTTCCTTGTGTTGCATGGGGTAGTCGACGTTGATACAAGTGTCGATGATGGATGTTGGTAATGTTGGTGGTGGGTGATAGTGGAAGAGGAGAGACGAAGAAGGACACAATAGTCTTTTTAGGTCAAATAGGGACTAAGCACGCAACAAAAATGTATAATAGGTATAAAGTGTGTAACAAATTTGGCATTTAAGGACTCCACGGATGGAAAACCCGATTTAGGGACTAAACGTGTAAGTAGCACAATACCACAAGGATCATTCGTGTAGTTTACTCTTTAATTTATTTGATTTGTTATTATTATTAACTAATTTTACATAAATGGTGCATGATGTTTAGAACATATGTCGGTTATTAACTAATTTTCATTATTATTGGAAATAAGAATTAATATTTAATATTAATATCTTTCAATAAAAAAATAACTAATATTAATAACAATTTGAATGTCTATCAATTATTGGAATGTTTATCAATTATTCAAAACGACTGTATAAATTTGAATAGCTTTTTGTACAACACAAAAAAGTTATAGGAAAAAAAATAATATTAAAAATAATTATATAATAATAATAACGAACAAATGGTTAGCTCCGGTGGCCATTATTACCCTCCGTCGATGCCGTCATTGACCACCACCAACGGTGGTAAAGTCGCTGGTAACATAAGAAATGGAAAAATGCTATGAAACAAATAGATTTAAAAGGTAAAACTTAGACCAAATCACACAAAGTATTCGGTCAACAAGGAGTAGACTTAATTTATACGTATTCACTATAAACGATATCAATGTATCGTGTCTTTGTTATTATCACTACATACAACCATGGGCACAATAACAAGCTCCATAAAACCAAGTATAATCCTCAAAACAACAACTCTCAACGATAGGCATGATTATAATCATGATAATGAAAGTTTTTGTGGATAAAATGAGACAACCATTTTGATCCCACAAAGCACAAAATAGCAACAACAACAAGTGTATTCCTTGCTACAACCGATATCATCCCTTGTTTAGTAGCAGCCACAATAGCAATTGAAGCAAGTGAAAACACTTGAAGTGACACCTCAAGTGCATTAAGACCTTTGTATGCCGAATTACAACTCGTGCAATTCACCACATGGCTCCAATACCTAAAAAAAATCGGTCAACAAGTCAATGAGTTGCTATTTCTTGCATTTAATTTATAATCTAATTGTGGTTGAATATTTTTAATGTAAAATTACCTATCCATGAGTTGTTCTCTAGCGGGAGTTGGTGGAAGAGATCCATTAAATTTGTTTCCCCAATCGATTTTTCCATCTGCATACTTATTTAGCCACTTTCTAAATGCAACCACATTTGCATCTGCTTTTGTTGGAACAAAACATATTTTATTCCAATTAGAAGATCCAGCTTCCATCACTTTCTTTTCCTACACATTTCATAATCAGAAACAAGTCAAAATCAATATATAGCAACTTACTTCCATTAATCTATTTATTATAAATTAGGGTTGTTTTGTGTTTTGTGTTACCTCAACATGAAGAAGATACAAATCAGAATCAATAATCAAATTCTGCCCAATATGATACATCCATCTTGCAACAATTTTATCGATCCAAACACCAAAGTTTCTAGGCGAAATAAAGATAATTCTGCTATTTCCAGGACTCACTGGCATACATATAAAGATCAAAAGTACTTGTCGAGGTGGCTTTTGACTTAATTGCCCCTGAAAATCAATCAAATTAAAGTAATGAAGTACCAAAAGGATAAAGTGTTAAGATCTAGAGTTGAATGTTGAAATATACCTTTGTGTTATCTGGACTTCCCCCCATTGTTACAGTTCCATAAAACAAACAAGGAGGAACAAATTTCCATTGACCATTTTGTTGACTTGCAGTGAAACCATTTTTGTCGATTTTGTTTACGTTTATTTCAAGAGGTCTTCCCCCTTCCCGATCTTGCTTAACAGTGAAGAAAAAGAAAACTTGTGTTAGGTGGATGATTATCAAAAATGGCAGAATCTTAACAGAAAATTAAGAAAAGAATGAATACTTATCTGGGTTGTGGCATCCTCATTATGCCATAATGTGCGTATGGAACATGAGCGGGATCCATGAGGTTTTCAATCAAGATTTCGTACCTGAAAATGTGAAATGTCGCTCTCTTGATCAATGAATGGATTCGTTTTTTGTTAAATAGGAGACAATTTGAATGATTGAATAATGAATACCCATATGGTATATCTCTGTTAAACATTTGGAATGTAAATGAAGGATCGTCGAGTTGAGGAATGTATGGAGGTTTCTTCTTCGTGAGGATATCTTTGTATTCAGGATCAGTATTAGGCCAAAACCAAACAATTCCGTTTTGAACAACGCTTGGATAAACCGCTACACATGCTTTTTGGAACGTATGAACCTGCAATTGAAAATACCTATGAATTCATGATGAAATTGTAGGGAAGAAAAGGTTAAAGGATCAGGTGTATTACCGGAGGACCATCAGGGGGAGCTTGAGGGATAAATTTGCAGTCGCCGGAGCCGCCGAAGCACCAGCCATGGTAGACGCACTGCAGCCTTCCCCATTGATCGATCCTTCCTTCGGAAAGTGGAGCCAATCTGTGTGGACAACTATCGTCGAACACCTTCCATTCATTATCGTTCTTATCCCACCAGATAACAACATCGAGACCTAGCACCTTCTTCCCATGGGGCGCCCTCTTGTCCAGATCACACACAGGCATGAGCGCGTACCACTGAGAAAACCAGTCGAATTTTTCATCTTGTTCAAGAGTTTCGGTTTCTTCTTCAGGTGGGGATGTGGGTTCGGTTGAAACAGATGGAGAAATGGTAGTGAAGGTTTTGAATTTGGGTTTTGTAAATTGGGTTAGATTGGGTGAGGGTGAATTGGGGGTTTTGTGAGTAAATGAAAGATTGAAAATGGGTTTCGGCAATTGGGTTCTGATACGTGAAGGTGGATAAACAGGGGAGGGAGCTCTCAGAGCTTCCATGGCGGATGGTTTACTTTCTGCGAACTGGATTTGGGGCGATTTGCAAATGAAATGTGATGGGCGTGGATCATGCAATTGTGGTGACAGTTATGCCACCCATACAATGAACAGTCCAACTATACAAGGTCTTCATGAACTTGAAAGTTGTATTTGGCGCTTCCTTAATGAATTAATTAATATTTTATAATGTTTTGTTAACAAAGTTTTTAGAGAAAGCTACATTTTTGGTCCCGGAGGTTTCTTCAATACAACACCTTTGGTCCAAAGTTCTTGATTGTTGCATAATTGAATCTTATTTCGAACTAAATTAGTAGATTTGGTCCCTTACACTAATGCCCGTTTGTTTCTTATAGTCAAGAACACTCTTGTGTTGTCTACATGAGCATGGCCGAACCAATATGTAGCACAATATGTAGCACAGGTTAACACGTGCTACTCCTCAAATTCGTCGGCAAAACCCTTTAGTGTAGATTTTGTGATGAAAACTACAGTCGAAAATGGTTTTTTTTTTCTAGTGGTGAAACTCCTAAACATTTTGTGCAACCTGTGATTTTTCTTTTTGGGAATGCCACTACACATGAGGGTAATTTCGTCTTTACATAATGCACAATTTGATGTCTTTATTTGTCTCCTCAGTTCAACACATTTCAGTAATATAAGTAGAGCTCAAGTTCGTTAAACCCTACCCACGCAGTGATCGTCTTATTCAAGTACATGTTTTTGCACAATATAAAGTATAGGAAGTAAAATATTTCATGTAGACATAAAAGTGTATATATGGTTGTTAACCATGATTCTCATTTCTTACTTTTGACTATATGTTAGCTATGACTATGTGTTTGTGTTATTGCCTTTGATTCTCTTCATTTTGATTTTATGTTATTATTTATGTGTTTATCTTATTGCACTTTATTCTCTTATTCTTTGTTTTGCTAGTGGAGAGGCTAAAGCTATCCACATAAGTGCAATGTCACTTATCTTTCAAGTATGTCACATCATCTTTGCAATTATATCTCACACCACTGCAATAACACTACTCTTTCAAAAGTAGACCCCATCAATACCTCTACTCTTTCAAAAGTAGACCCCATCAATATATACTATGTGTAAAACCCGTGTAATACACGGATTGATTAAAAAAGAAATTAAATACTAAAATGTAAACAATAAATATTTTATAAAATAAAGTTTTGAAATAAGAAATAAAGAAATGTATTAATTGCAATTTAATATCATATTTATGACATTTAATACATTACATATATAAATATATAAATATTATGTGGCTTTTTAATTTTAAAATTTGAAAACCCTAAGAACTGACATGTGGATTTCAAAAATATCACAAAATGACAAGTGTCAAAACTCATAAGAGATTGACATGTGACAAAATTGATCTTCATTTATTATATAGATTATATATATATATATATATATATATATATATATATATATATATATATATTACCGGATCTAAATATTAATCATTTACAATAGTTAAAACGTAATTTACATTCAGATACAGTCTGTTAATTATATAACAACTTTGTTCCATTTAATATTAGACAAAACTGCAAAAATGGTCCCTGTGGTATGCAATTTTTTGGGGTTTTAGTCCAAACCACGACTTTTTTGGATTGGTGGTCCTTTTGAGCTAGTTTCATTTTTTTGGTCCTCTAAATAGTAAAATGATTGTAATACCTTGGGTTATTTATTTTCATTTCTTTCATTTTTCTTAAAATCTAAATACTTATTATATTTATTTAAACTAATTAAAAAAATAAAAGTCTCTCTCGCTAGCTCTCGCTCTCTCTCTCTCTCTCTCTCTCTTTCTCTCTCTCTTCCATCCCATCGTCTTTCCTTCCAAAGATTCGGTGATATCTTCGGCTGACCAACATTGTTCATCACCTCCGACCAACCACCAACCCATCATATTCAGCACCTCCATACCTGCACATCGTAGCCACCACCACCATCATAAATGAAGTATGCCTTTCACCTATGATGCCCTCTCGTGAAACCCTTCAACCATGGACATGATCAGCTTCCGATTATCCTTCCAGAAAAGAAAAAACAATTCTAAAAGCTTCTGAAAAATTGAAATCGTTTGAAACTCTCACCCAAACAAAAAAACCAAATCCTATATGGTAATTTAAATCATGTTTGAAAATCGGTAAACCTAAATAAGATGGAATCCTAATTGGTTTGTTGGGGAGAATGGAAATATGGGAGATAACATCGGGAACTGTGATCTTGGAGAATGTAGGCATTCAAATGGAAGTGGAGACGACGGTGATGTGAACTCTGATGTGCTGCATCTCAGGCTAGAAATTTCAAACAATCACTTCACTGGTTGCTGCATTTCAGGCAGCCTCCCTTCTCAATTTCTATCAATTGAACCTCGGTTTTGTTGGATAAACTCACCTCGAAGTTCAATTTCACCATTACCAATCGTAACCCTAATAAGAAGATCGTGTGTGTATACGATTCGGTTTCTGTTTTGCTCAATTTGAAAA